ATCAATATAATGCATAATATTATTTTCTAAATCATTTTCTATTTGGGATAATTATCTCGCCGAACTAAGTGGAATTACCTAGTCTCTGTCGTCTTTTTTTTTTCTCTCTCTCATGTGCACACACACACACAAGCCTTTCTAAGGCTTTGACATTTAAATGACTTTTTAAAAAATGTAGTGTCTGTTAAAGATAAACTCTTATTTTTAGAGGTGCCACCTTTTGGTTGCAAGGACAAAAGGACAATTGCTTAATTACCTTATGTGTATGTACAAGTGAATTAACAAGTTTAGACATGAAAAGATGTACAAAAGGAAACTAACTGCTTCCATGTGAGCAAAATAAGGTCTTGTTTGCTTATTTCTCTACCGTCACAAGAAATGTGAAAGTTTGCAGTTCATGAATTTATTTTTATGAATATTGTGTATAAATGTTAGGTATAGTATAACATGGAAAAGATGCATAAGTATTTACTTTTTCAAATACTTCTGAAAAATTCTGTCTTTATATATTGAAAGTCAGAACTAACGCTCGTCTATAGTGAGTGGATTGAGAAGAGATTTTAGATTATGTACTATAGGAAGTTATTATCCTGTCATGCCACAAAATATTCTATTTCATATAATCTTTATTTTTTTCCTTTAAAAGGATATTCTTGTGAGAGGATATTGTTAATGATGGAGGCAAAATATGATAACTATACTTTAAGGTATTTTTTTTTTATCAGAACTGAAGATAGATCCTATATAGGGAAAAATCCTGAAGTATTAATTTCACAAAAATACCACAAAATAAGAGAGCTGTTGATGAAGAGTTTTGAACCTCATTTTATAATGGAGGATATTCATTATTCTATCTGGCCAAATTATCAGAAAGTTCTGATCAAGAAATATGAAAATGGATAATATGGTATGTACATAATAAGATTTGCATATTCAGACTTGGTACTAGCTACAAGCCAAAAATTGTAGCTTGTCTTAATTATATTTGTGCAAAATGAGCTGACAGATTAATACACAAAATGCAGAAAGTGTTCAATAGCTGAGTTAATTTTAACTTCCTCTTAGTCTAATAACACCATGGACATAACATCATTCATCTCTTTTGATTTCAGTATATTAAATCAATTTAGAGTGCATTCCCAATACAAGTTCTTAAATCCATCTAATCGTAAAGAATTCACATTTAACACAGACGATTATATTAGCATGAAATACTTCTATAGCACTTATGATTTCCAATTCAGGCATTGACCAAAAAAGGATATCATTTATTCCAGACTGAAACCTAATATCTGCTTTTATGTTGATGATGATTAAATGATATTCATGGAAGAAAGTTAAAAATAAAACTGATTATATAATGGGAGAACTTTTGTCTAATATTACCGCAAACCCAGCCCATAGTTAGCCATTCTACCATAGTATAGGTCTTGCAAGTATTTTGCTTAAAATTTTTGTGTTTCAGTTAAACACCTGTGCATGTGTGCTCTTTTAAAATTTTTGAATGGTTTACTTAGAATAAATGTATCTGTACCAAAAGCTTAGTATATGAGATGTTTTCTAGCCAAATTTGTTTCCATTGAAACTGACCAGAGCTGTTTAAATGGGGATAAAGTATATGGTATTCTAAATAAATTATTTTCATTAGGATTTAATAATATATGTACATATATGTATACATATGTATTTGTGTGTGTGTATATATACATATATATATATATATATATCTTAAAATTACATAACTTTTTCAAAAAGGATGATAAGCTAATGAATAATAAAATCTGCAAATCTAAGAAGTATGAATGTAAACAGTACATTTAAAGAAAAATAACAATGTCTTATGAATTTTTTAATGACTCCTCTTTTGTTGAAAGGTGGGAACACCCAGAGGAAATATCAATGGGGGTCTAGATCTTTCCTTTTATAGAGCCCTTCTATGGGTTTGGGAAGAAGTGATGTTTAATATATATCATGGTTTATAAAACCCTTATTACAGGAGGACACACTTCTGTAACAAATAAGTTAAAATAATATTGCTATATAATTTCGAGTGACTGGTGATAAAGTTTCTGTCTTTCTGCAGTGTTTAGCAGATGCTTCTTTAAATGTTTACATTAATGTAAACTTTTTCTTAATATTTTACATAAACATGACATTATTATCATTTTTTTTTCCAAGTAGGGAGATCTAAATTGATATCCTTTTATTTAATTCTTAGGTGAATGATCAATATTTTCTTATAATTTCTTTGTAAACTTGACTCAATGACCTCCATTGTATTTCCACTTTCTTAAGCACGAATGTAATCTTTTCAGCCCCCACAAACTAGCATTTTTTTTCCAGGTCCTTCATCACTTGGAGATATTAAGGAGCTGCTTTTACATTACATGTAAAGCTGTGGTAGCAGAGCCAATAAATGGCACTGTACTCATATGTACTTGTAATAGGAAAATCAAGTTTAAGTTATTTTGCAAATATATACCACCTGTTCCAAGTCAGAGAGCATGCCGTCCTTTCCTGTCTATATGACTACATCTTTCACTGATGTTGTTTTATTAAAATAGGAAACTTTTTTGCATTAAAGTGTACAATGAAATACATTTATTTGTTGTAGTAATAGTAAGCACTAGAGCTGATATTTCTGTAACTTTAAGTATAATTTGTGTCCCATGGCAAAGAAGCCTCTTTTTGAAATGACATTTATGTTTTATTAATTTAAAAACAATATTTAAGATCACTCTGAAAAAAATCTTAGAGTACAAACAACACACTTACAATAGCGATAGATACAAGTTTTCTAGCATACCTTTAAGAAATGCTGAACAGATATTTAAAACAATTTTTTTCTGTGATTTTTATATTTATTTAACCTCAAGTCCTGTCTAGAAGTAGTTCTAAATTTCTTTGAGTTTCTTTTGTCTCTGTAAGTACGTTCAATGCTGGGAAGGACTATTGATGCACTGGTTTCCATAATTTACCAGTACTGATAATAAAGGGAGATTAAAGTTCATCTTTTTTTGGTTACTACTCTTGTGTTGCTACAAAGAAAACATATTGGTAATTCCTACAGATGTCTCACAAATAGACTGTTTCACATGTTCGTCATACACAAAGAGAGGTACTTAGTTACCAAAGAAGTTCTAGAAAATCCTGAAGATAACGAATACCT